TTATTAAAACAGTGACTATGTATGTTAATAATACTTCAAAAACTTGAATTAGACAAAAATGTGACTAATATTTGCTGAGTGCTTTGTAGAGACCACACTGTACAAGAGCATTACATGCATATTTCATTTAGTCAAATAGCTCTCTGAAATTAGAAATAGTAACAGTTCCATTTTTACAAATGAGGAAACTGAGCCCTAGAGAACTTAAAGATCACTCCCTTAGTAAGATGCAGAATTCAAACCTCCATGACTAATTCCAGAACCCTGGCTTACAGTTTACTATACCTGTTAAAATACATGTCAACATAATAACTAAATGTAGTGTGTGAACCTTGATTGGATCCTAGATGATGGAAATAAAAGCAGCAAAAAAGACATTTGGGGGACAATTTGGAAATTTTTTGCAAATATGGAATTACTATTAGTTTTCTTAAGTGTAATAATATAATTGTAGTTAGGTAGGAAAATGTCCTTATTTTTAGCAATGAAGTATTTAGGAATGAAGTTTCATTATGTCCTCAACCTACTTTCAAATGCTTCAGTTAAAAAATGTGTGACACACACACAAGCATGCACCCTCACACAAAGCAACTAACTGTTGGCATAATGTTAACCACTGTTGAATCAATGTGAAGGGTACCTGGATGTTCACTGTACTAGTCTTTCAACATTTCCCTAGGTTTGAAATTTTTTTAAATAAAATGTTGGGGGAAATGCACATTTAGACAAGCCTCTTAAGAAATAATTCATAGAATCTCAGGAAATTTTAAAGATTTAAAATTTTCATGAGATTTTAAAGATCAAGTGGAGTCTTACACCATCTTTTTCTTTGCTGCTACTTAAATGATTTTATTTCACCAACGGTATAAACAAGATTACACCATACACAATGTACAAATAAGCATTAAAAACTATGAAAGTGTATGTATTGTAGTATCAGCATAGGGACTGGTATTAACAGAAAATTTTACTTTCCTTACAGTTTTACAACGATCGTGTATTTTCAGAAAAAATGTCATAAAATTTTCTTTTTCAATTCCACTTAAAAAAAAGAAAGAGAGAGAGAGAAAGCCCTAAAAATTCCTTATTGCCTCCTGTCCCTCTGGTGAAAACTGTATGTCCTGGAAATCAGTCTTTATTCTGTTCGTGTCCCTCTGCAGGTGGAATTTTGAGCTATAAATAGGAACCTGGGATTCCACCGCTGGTTCTGTGCACGGAGCTGTGCTGCAAACAATAATTAAGCACGACGGAGAAAAGTTAATGTTTTACAAAGAAGCAAGTGGCGGCCGAAAACAGTTCGATTCTTGGATTTGGAATGCATCCTTTGGTGCCCAAATCTCCGGCCAACCTAGAACGCGAACGCAAGTTACGGGATCCCCAGGCACAGCAGCGTTCCCAGAGGCAGCGGCGGCCGGAGGCTGGCCTTCAGGGAGTATAACGTCCCCCTCCTCCTCGGCCATTCCGGATCTAGGTGTCGGGGCATCTGCCAATAGTAAGCGAGAGGCGAGGCCAGTCCATCCTGCCATCCTGCCCCCTCTGCCAATCGGGAGCGAGGGGGCGGGTCCGGGAAGGCCGTTGGCCGTGGAGCCCTGGAGCGAGGAAGAGGGGTCCGCCCTCTGCGCCTCGGCTAATTGAAAGCGAGGGGCGGGTCCCGGGGCGGGTCCCGGAAGGCGGTGCCAGGCGCAGGTGCGAAGGCTGGGCGGTAGGGCTGCGGCCTCCGCCGGCGGGCAGTATGGAGGATGTGAGTTCGCGGATGCTGGTGGCGAGCGACAGGCCCGGAGCCCACTCTTCCGGTGCTGGGCGCGCTGGGCGGAGACGGGGGTGGGGGCAGCCCTGGTCGGAGGGGCGCCTCCTGCGCGGGGCTGCCCGGGCGCGGGGTTGTGGGAGGAGGCACCGGGGCGGCGTCGGGGTCCGGGGCGGCGTCGGGGTCCACGCCGGCCCCGGGTTTATTTTCCTGGGGGAAGGCCGGGCGGGCGCCAGCCCCGTGCGGGCGCGTGTCGAGTCCCGGAACTGGGGCGGCCCGAGGTGCGCGCGGGGCCCAGGGCGCGGGGTCGCTCGGACGCCCTGGCGTAGGGGCGAGTCCCCGGCCTCTTGGGTCCCGGCCTTGGCCCTGAGGGCTGTGACTTGGAGCGGCTGCGGCAGACCTGTCGTTATCATCACCCGAAAACCCACATTGGAGAAAAAGAATGTCGTGATGTTTTGAATCGAGGCATGGTAGGAGTGAAGGGATTTTTAAATCTCTTTACTTAGATGGATCCAAACCAGATTATTAAAAAACCAGTGCACTAGTTACAGTGTATATAGTGTACAGAGTGAAGACTAATTGCAAAAATCTTTGCTTAAATGTATTAAAACATTTTTAGGAAAAGCATGTATTTGTGCCCAAAATTAACTGGGTTACCCATTGGCACAAAATTCTTGCTCTTGAAAAATGCAAAGTTGATAGTTATATTAAAGCACTGATTTGAGTTAATAGATTAACAGGAATATTACTGTGATCCTACCACTGAATGAGGTGCATCAGGCAAGACACATGAAACACAGTTCCAGCCCTACACAAGACCTTAGATTCTTGTGCAAATAGTGACTATAGTTCAATTATCTTGACTAAATAAAGACCGAACAATTTCTAATGATAAGACTAAAAAATTCTATTTTTTTTTCAGTTGAGAACATGGAAAGCTAACTGTAACACCTGGAAGTAGATTTGAGACTCATTTATATTTAAAGAAAAACTGATTGTTTCTAAATCTTTTAAGAGTGAGATTCATGAACTGACAATGTATGGAGAAAATGAGTAAGAGGAAAATTAGAGACTCATTAAAATGTGTGCAGTAAATGCTTCTTGGTTGGTGCTAAGCTGCCCCAGGGTTCTTGGGTCTGTAGCTTTTAGCGTTAGGATTAGTACAACCCTAGAAATTTGTTTCACCAAACAGTTGGAGAGTAATGTTTCACCAATAGCTACATAGCTTTAGATCGGAGCAAGTCGCCTGCTTTTGGTATTTTGTGGGTATGGTTTCTACCACTCAGTAGTAAGCTAAAAACTGTGTGCCATGTCTTAGGCCCAGACACCTAAATGAGTTAAAAGAGGCAAAGGCTTTTTAGTTAACGATTCTTTGTTTGCAAGTGGGTGAACCAATTGTGGCTACTTTAAGGAAGAAAGGGATTTATTTGAAAGGATATAGGGTAGATGAACACCTAGGCCTCTGAAAGGATCCAAACAAGGGCAGCTCAAAGGATCCAGAGACAGGGGTCCTTTCAGAATCTGTCCTGGGATGGATCGCCTCAACCATGGACTCCGTTTGCTTTGCTGCTCTGAGAGAGAGTTGGATTGGCCCAGCCCTTTTTGGTTCCATGACCACCCCAGGACAGAGGAGGGTGAAGAGCATCAAAGGATGTTCCCCTTGAGACTTAATGCAGAGGTAGACATTGGGTCCCCAAAGGAAGTAGCTATTGTCACAAAAGAAGAGGGAGGAGATGGTGTGGAAAAAACAACAGCTATCTTCACTTGCAGATGGTGAGTTCCAGAGGGTGCTGTTTGTATGGTTTTCCCACATTTCCTATAGGCTCCAAAGGGCAGTGTATTTGATGTAGTCACCAAATACATTGTATTTCATGAACATTGAATAAGTGACATAGAAACCATATTGTCCCCAGCCCCTTCAGGATAGTCAGGGAAAACAAAAGGCATACACATGAAACAATACAAGGCAGCATAAAAAATATTCCAAATTAATATTATGGGCAGTAATTTTTTAGGAGTTTTAAACTAGGAAGAAAACACTTGGCAGGACAAGTTTTATAGAGAATGTAAGTTTTGGTTGGACTTCGAAAGATGAGTTGGATTCTGAAAAAGATAAGAAAGGGTATTTGTGGGGCATTCCAGAAAGCTCATGCAGGCTAGAGGAGAAGGTGCATGAAAGGGAACGAGTGGGAGATAAAGTAGACTATTGTCTTACAGTCAGGGTTTCAATGCTACCTTTTAAAAAGTTCCCAGATCCCAACTGTTCAAGAAGTTGGGCCGTCTTTCATTCACTCAACACACATATTGAGTACCTGCTGTGTATCAGGTACTAAAGGTACAAAGAACATAGTATAATGTAGAGTCCTGCCCTTGTGAAGCACACCTTATTCGAACCACTTTGATACCTTGTCCTTCCTTCTGCCTGAAATAACCAAAAACCTGTATATAATATATGAAAAAACAGGCACAGCCGCCACTGGAAGTGGACTTCGCCTGCCAAGATCAGTCTCACGGGGAAGGTTATCAGGAAGGCTATGAAGAAGGAAGTAGTTTGGGTATGATTGAAGGAAGACAGTATGGCACGTTGCATGGAGCTAGAATCGGATCTGAGATCGGGTGCTACCAGGGTTTTGCTTTTGCTTGGAGATGTCTCCTGCACGGCTACGCCACTGAGAAAGACAGCAAAAAGATGAAGGTCTTAGAATCGTTGATTGGAATGATTCAGAAATTGTCTTATGATGACCCTACTTATGATAAACTTCATGAAGACTTAGAATTAGAGGGAAATTTAAGCAGCTTTGTTCATGACTAAACGTCCAGCCTGACTTTAAAACTAGTGCAGAAGGTTCCGGACTTTCATTTTGAGGATGACAGACGCACAAAGACCTAACATCAGGGAACAGATGTTCGCTTGTCAAGTGTTTAAAAATGTGATTAAAGGCAAAACAATGATGGGGGATTCATTGTTTTGCAGGGAGGGTTCCAGCTTGGCCGGTGAAAGGGCTTCCTTCCCCCGAGATCTGCCGGGTAGCCTCGGTGCCCCCCACGGGGCCCCTCCACACAGGCCCGCCCTTTGTTGGGCCCTGTCTGCTCTGCAGCGTGAACGCGGCCGTGGCAGAGCCCTCACCAGTCTGCTTTTCTCTGGTCCAGGGTCCAGGCCCCTGGCTCATGGGTTCTTGTCACCTGGCAGGCCTGGCTGGATCTAGACTCAGGTTGGCCCTGGATAGGATAAACCTCCCCTTTACCCCCCGGGCTTTGGTCAGCTCTCAGAGGGACAGTTTTTTTTTAAATGAGAGCCACAGGGTTGACACGAAGCAGGTTAATGGGAAGGAGTGATGCGTACTGTGACATTTATTGACCCTTGAGATGTGCCAGTGCTGTGACCTGCTTCTCATGTTTTATTTAGTCCCTTCAAGAGCCCATGAGGTAGGCGTTATTCCCATTTTATAGACAAGGAAACTGAGACCAGCCCAAGAGACTGCCTGGTCCAAGGGCAGTGGGCGGCAGAGCTGGGACTCCAGCCCTGTCTCCTGCTGCCTGCTCTGGAATGCGTAGTCGCACCCACAGTCTCGGGGCCCCTGCTTGCAAGTCCCCGCTATGCCCCGTGGAGCCCTGGGGCATCTCATGTGGCCATGGACGTGGGCGTCTGGCTGAGAGGAGGAGAGGCCAGCCCTGTCCCCAGGGAGCCGGGACTTGCTCTTCCTCTGTCCCCCGTTGGGTGGGGCTCTGCAGCATCAAAAATGGTCAAGGGGAGGAGTCTTTAAGGTCACTGTTCTATGTGCAGAAACTTTGGAGCCTTACTGCAGCCTTCCTTCTAGTGTGAGTTGTTCTGTCTTCTGCCCGGACTTAAAAGGCATCATCTGTACGTGGTGCGTGGCCTCAGGTGCACCTTTGTCACAGACACCAGCAGTCTCTGGCTGGTGGGATGGAGGGGCTTTTGTTGTCGTTTTCCTGGGTGATTTTTTGTGCTTCCTAAGCTATCTGTTTGGATGATGTATTATTTTTATAATTGGAGAAATAAAGAGTATATTTTAAAGCAAAAAAAAAAAACAAAAATTGAAACAAAACAAAAAATATATATGAAAAAATACTTGTTGAGATCATAGGCATCAGGCGATGAAGGACAGTGATCTTGGAGAGATGGGAAGCAAATGACATGAGCCATATGATTGCCCCAGCTCACTGCCTTGAGAGAGTTTTCGGGGTGGGCAGAGGAAGGGGGACCAAGTGGGGCTTCAGTAGACCCCGAGTTGAGGAGATGGAGCTGAATCTGGGGATACCGAAGCAGCTGGAGTTCACAAGACAGAAAACCCAGAAAGGAGAGCGCTGCGCAGAGGGAGAGCTCGGAAGAGGTGCAGAGTCCCCTCAGGTATTCAGCTGAGTCCTGTTCTTCCTGCCTCTAAGGAAACTCCCTGAGGACTGGGATAAAAAACACTCAGAAAGACCGGAGGGAGCAGTACTGTCATGCAGGGCCAGGAGTAGTGCCTGTTCTTCCAGCCAGAGTGGAAACCTCATAATCACAGGGTATTAGGTTTTCAGAAAGGTCTTGCATCGCTTGTGGGGAATAATTAGCACTAGACCAAACATGGTATGGTCCCACCTAAGAAAGCACCTTAAAAGAAAGACCAAAAAGATCAAACTGTTTCAAGTGACTTAACTGAATCCCAGAACAAAGCTCAGTAATATAGGAATACAAAAATGTCCAGCACCCAAAGAGGTAAATTTTGCGATGTCTGGCATCCAGTCCAGAATTACCAGGCACTGCTAATTATGTGATTTAGCGGAGGTGTTAGGTAATGCTATGGTGGTAATCATTTTGCAATATATAAGTGTATCAAATCAACTCATGGTATGCAAACTTACACAATATGACATGTTAATTATATCTCAATAAAGTGGAAAAAATGATCAAGCATGCAAAGAGGCAGGGAAATATGACATAATGAGTCAATTAAAACATTCAAAAATGACATGCTAGAAATAGCAAACAAGGACATTTAAAAAAATTATTATAACTGTTTTCTGTATGTTCCAAAGGTTAAAAAGACACATGGGAGATATAAAACAAACCCACTCAAACTTGCAGAAATAAAAACTACAATGTCAGATGAAAAAGGAACAGCATTGAGGCATCAGAGAAGGCAGCATTTTTGCTAAGACAGACACTTGACAGGTGGGGAGGGATGAAGAGGCACAGAGACTGGAAGGATGGCATGGAGAGGTTCATGGACATTAGTTAAGGGAAGAGCCGTAGAGGTGGGACAGCCTCTAACTGAGAAAACTAGAAGCAAAGGAGTCTTGAAGAGAATAGAAATCATCAGAATTGCTCCATGAGTTATGGCAAACTAAACAGGAAGCTCTCTAGGCATTGAATAAAAAAAATTGCAGCAGCGTTGAATGTCTGGGAGTGGAAATTGAGAAGCCCATTCCAGATCTGATCATTTCCCAGATTGCTGTGTTATCTTTATAATCCTGGTGCACAGCAGCCTGCCCTTACACCATTGGTCCCCCTCTCTACCCCTTCCAAAGTGAAGAGCCCATATCCTCTGTCTCCAAATCCAATTCTCAGGCTTCCCCTTTTCCCACTAAATTTTCATTTCCCTCTTGTTCTAGTGCAATTATCTAACCTAAATTTTTTGCATCATTTGTGCTATTCATTTGCTAATTTATTATGTACTGCCCCATAATATGCCACACACTATATTTTATTTTGCATTCTTATATTGTTCAGTCCTGCATGCCTTTATCCTAACCTCCCCGATGAAAATGTCATCTCCTTTTGAATAGGGACTGTGTCTTACATTCTTTTATCTCAGGAACAGTGCCTTATATGTAACAGTTTTCAGTAAGGCTCTGAGACTGAGAGATTGTTTTATGCACCAGATACCTAAGATGCTGTTCCTGTCAAGACCCTAACTTTAAACATGACTAACAAGATTTTGAGGTTGCAGCTCAGCCTTTGCTGGCTACTTCAGTGACGTTGCAACTAGTTGTTTTCATTGAGAATCTGGTATCTACAAACTGAAATCTCCTCGAGGGTCTATCACTGTGATCTGTTTCTATTAACACTCTAACATATTTCTCTCATGATTGAAAGTTTGTTTAAGACCTCTTAGTAATGCCTCAACCAGCTTTCCAAAATTTTGTGGAACACTGAGATATAGTTTAAGAATTGCAATCATATGTAATTTTTATCAATAATATAAATAATGTTGGGGACTACCCTGGTGGTCCAGTTGTTAAAACTGCGCTTCCCACTGCAGAGGTCACGGGTTTGATCCCTGGTAAGGGAACTAAGATCCCACATGCTGCATGGCACAGCCAGAAACGTAAATATATGTGTGTGTGTGTGTGTGTGTGTGTGTGTGTATAATGTTAAATAAATCAATATCTAAGTTTTGAGGGCTTGAAGAAAATTATTTGAGATTAATAATTGATAATTAATGAGATTATTTATACATAATCTCATTTTGACTTACCTCATTTGGAGATAAAGAATTAAGATTTCTTCTACTTGTTTTAATAATTGTTTTTACCAGTTTACAGTAGTCATCAAGAAGTTTATGGTATTTTTTCAAAATTAGCTTTAGGTAGGGAGTGTGTTTTCTTGCCTATAATTTGTGTAATAAATTTTAAAGCTTTATAGTTTAGTAGATTTGTCTTGGAAACATAATCCAGAGAGTGGTGATTATAGCTTGCTTTTTTCTGCACCTCAGGGTTCCTTGGATCTCATCCAAAGTATTGAAGATGACCCCCTTCTGGACACCCAGCATCTCCCACATCACTCATTACATGCTCATTTTAGGCCCAGATTCCAGGCTCTTCCTACAGTCATCATTGCACATCTTCTCTTGTTGATACATGTAAGTTGACTGGGAGAAAGTGATCCATCCAAAGGCGATGTTTTTCAAAAATTTATAACCTCTTCAGAGGGCAGTTTGGCTATATCTATTAACATTTAAAGTGTGCATACATTTTTACTCATATCTCTACTTCAAATAATTTATTGTAGACATATTTGCACACATGTAAGGATATCGTTTATGATAGCAGTGTTGTCTGTAATATGAGGAAACTGCAATCTGCCACCATCCAGAAGATGCTTTGTATGTCCTGTCCATATGAAGGAATGCTTATACAATATTAAAAGAGAAACTTAGGAGAGAAACTTGGGGTGGATGTGTACCCTTCACGGTTCATTGTTGAATGGAAAAAAATGAGGTTTACAGTGGTGTGTACAGAATGTTCCTGTTTGTACATTTTAAAAGGGTGTTGAGACAAGTGTGTATATGGGTGATGTTGTGACTTATAAGAAATATATTTGGTCATTCAGATGATCAAAATATAGTTCTCATATGTCTTTGATCTTCATCCATGGTTTCTGGCTCATAGCTCCCAAAACCCTTGGAATTTCCTGAGTGATAAGAGCAATGGGAGCATCTTTTGTTATAATTTTTGGTCTTTTGTCCTCAGTCCCTAAAATCACTTCAAAGTCATAAAGGTGAAATGGGTGTCTTGATGTTCATAACAACCTCTTTCCACCACTGCTGTATTTATGTTGGTGAGGTGACTTTGGAAAGCACCTAAGGATGGGGACTGTTGCCAGGGGAACCAAGCAGGAACAAAGGGTTGGAACTTTCAGTCCCACGCCCTGGCCTCTGGGGATGGGAAAGGGGCTGGAGGTTAAATCATCTACCAATGGCCAATGATTTAATCAACCAGGCCTATGTAATGAAGCCTCCATAAAGACCCAAAAGGAGGGGGTTCAGAGAGCTTCCAGGTTGGTGAGCTAGAACACTTTGTTATGAACCACTGCCAGGGCCCCAGACTCCACCAGGACAGAAGCTCCTTTGTTTGGGAACTGGCAGGAAGTATGTCTTCATCGGACTATTGATTTGTATCTTTTAATATTCTTTGTAATAAATTGGTAATGTGTTGAGTAAACAGGTTTCCTGAGTTCTGTGAGCCAGTCTGGCAAACTAATTGAACCCAAGAAGGAGTTGATGGGAACCTCTGATTTACAGCCTGTCAGTCAGAAGTGCAGGTAACAACCTGGATTTGCAAGCGTTATCTAAAGTCCAAGGAGGGGGTTGTGGGAACCTCTGATTTGTAGCCAGTGGGTAAGAAGCACTGGTGACAACTTGGACTTGCAGTTAGCATCTGAAGTGAGGGCAGTCTTGTGGGACTGAGCCTTCAACCCATGGGATCTGATGCTCTCTCCAGGTAGTGTCAGAATTGAGTTGAGCTGTCTTCATCAAGACACCCATTTCACTAGTTGAGCTCCCAGTTGGTGTCAGAGATTTGCCGCCCCCCTCCGCCGTCCCCTCCCCCCCACAAACACATTGGAATTGGTACTGGAAACTTTTAACGTTTATTCCTGTATTCTGTAATAGAATATTTCCAGAAGCATTCACAAGACCCTTTTTTTAGTTTATTTTTTATTTTTATTTTTATTTATTTATTTATTTATTGCGGTACACGGGCCTCTCACTGCTGCGGCCTCTCCCGCTGCGGAGCACAGGCTCCGGACGCGCAGACTCAGAGGCCATGGCTCACGGGCGCAGCCGCTCCGCGGCATGTAGGATCCCCCCGGACCGGGCCACGGACCCGTGTTCCCTGCATCGGCAGGCGGACTCCCAACCACTGCGCCACCAGGGAAGCCCCACAAGACCCTTTTAATGCTAGTTGCACTGAGCGCGTCAATGGAAGGGACACCTAATATATTTTAATGTTTACTTTTTGTACTATTTGAATTTTTTTTATCATATGCATGTATTACTTTTTAAGTTATAAAAACAAAAAAAGATACAAATAAATCTACGTATGTTGACATGGAAATTTATCTATTTATTTACACCTAGGAAATAGTGTTAAGCAGAGAAATCAGTGTACTGTTGCCCCGTGTTTTATATGATAAAATTACAAATGTCTGGGGATTTTTAAAAATGTGTGTTGCAACCACTAGATAAATAAATCCTGGAGATCTAATGCATAGCATAGTGATTATAGTCAACACTAATATTATAAATTTCAAAGTTGCTAGGAGACTAGATATCTTAATTGCTCTCACCACAAAAAAGAAATGGTAATTATGTGACATGATACAAGTGTTGGCTAAAGCTACGGTGGCCATCATTTTGCAATATACGAATGTTTCAAATCAACACATTGCACACCTTAAACTTATACAGTGTTATGTCAATTATATCCCTCAATAAAAATAAATAAAGTTCAACGTCATAAAAACAAAACAAGACACATGTATGAATGGTCTTGTAGGCTTACTGGGGGCTCTGCTCCAAGTCTGTTAATTATTTCCTCATTTTGGTTACTGCAGTCTCAAACACTAGGGGCTGTAGTTGTTCTTTGCAGCAATGTGAAAGATGAAGGCAGATTCTCGCCACTCCTTGGGTGTTCATGAGGGGGTGGATGTGGTTGAGGACTGGCCCAGCTGCTGCTCCAGTGAGGTGCACTGTGGAAGACTTGCGCTCAGAACTGAGTGCATTGAGGACAGAGGTGCACCTGTTTTCCTCATGTAGATCTAGTAAGTGGCCTGATTCTGCCATGGCTTCCTGATCCCCAAATAGCAGCTGAAGCGCTTCTTTCCTTGTGCCTCTTTGTATTGATATAATTTATAAATTATATAATTATAAATTATATAAAGAGTATAAATACTCTTTATGTATGTACAGTACACACACACACCACTTAAAAAAAACTTTTTGTGTTAAATTGCCTGCCTTCAGTACTGTGGGATTGATTGCCCTAATTTTAGGACTAAGAAAATCTTATGTTAAAGAACAAGAAAAACTAATGTCTTTATATACTACTTTGTATAAAATGGATCAGTTGGGTTCAATGTACAGTATATTACAGTAGAGGGAATATGTTGACTTTTCCACTTTTACTTTATGAGGATGTGCATCTTGAGCTGCTATAGCAAATATTACTGCTCTTGACAAACCACATAAATTTTAAATAGACTTATTACATGCTAAGATTGGCTGCTATTGGATGCTTGGTGATGGATGCTAATGACAGCATTTAAAATTTTCTTTGATTTTTTAAAAATTATAGAATAATACTGCCTTATGGTTAACAAGTAAAACATTACCAGAGTATACAAAGATATAATCTTCCCTTTTCTCTGCTTCACCCCTTCTCCCTGAGTTAATAAATGGGGTCAGTTCACTGTATCTCTTTCAGTGTCTTTTGTTAAGTTCATACAAATGCATACAAAAAGATTACCACGTTATAAAAGGATGTCCCCCATTTCCAGAAAAGAAAAGATTGGATAATACAGTATTTATTACTCAACAGCAGTGTTCCTCAAACTTGAGCATGCACCAGATACCCTGGCAGGCTTATTACACTACAGGCTGCTCGCCACACGCCCAGAGATTTTGATTTGGGGCCTGAAAATTTACATTTCTAACTGGTCTGGAGATCACACTTTGAACTACTACTTTACACCTTACTTTCTTTAATCTTAACATATCATAGGTATCCACCCAAACTAATACATAGAGCTTTAGTTAATTCTTTTTTTTTTTTTTTTTTTTTGTCTGTGTTGGGTCTTTGTTGCTGCACTTGGGCTTTCTCTAGTTGTGACGAGAGCGGGGGCTACTCTTCATTGTGGTGCACGGGCTTCTCATTGCAGTGGCTTCTTTTGTTGTTGAGCACGGGCTCTAGGCATGTGGGTTTCAGTAGTTGTGGCACCAGGGCTCAGTAGTTGTGGCTCGTGGGCTCTAGAGCACAGGCTCAATAGTTGTGGCACACAGGCTTAGTTGCTCCATAGCATGTGGGATCTTCCCAGACCAGGGATTGAACCCATGTCCCCTGCATTGGCAGGAGGATTCTTAACCACTGTGCCACCAGGGAAGTTGCCTAGTTAATTCTTTTATAGCTGAATAACATTCTATTATGTGAGTGGGTATACCTTAATTTATTCAAATATTCTGCTATGGATGCATACATATACTTGGGCAATTTACAGTTTTTTTCAAATACAGAGAACACTGCAGTAAATATATGTGTCCATATATCCTAGGTACTGTGCTTTTACTTCTGAGTGATAGGGTCCTAAGGTAGGATTTCTGGGTCAAGATATTTCCAAATTATTTTTCAGCAGCACTTCCCAGACCAGTCAGCATTTTATGAGGCTGTCTGTTTGCCCATATGTTGACATCAATCTTTTAAATTTTTGCCAATCTAATTGGATAGTTATTCTTGTTCTCTTAAAACTGAAATAAACTTTTTTAATTCACGATTTTTATTATTTAGTTTTGAGGTGCTAAATTAACTGTTTTTACTCTTTTTAATAAAAGAGAAGTGGGCAGGAAATTGAATTTAACATTAAGTACTCATCTTTGTTAGATGGGATTTGGGGTGATTTTTATTTTATTTGTGATTTTATCTGTTTCCCAAATTTTCTGCAAATTTTTCTCCAGATTATCTGTTTAAAAAGTTTGTAAAAATGGCAAAAAAGAAAGTATTTTTAAACTCATAAAAGTAGGATACTGAAAGTCATAGGTATAAGAATATGTGCTGGGGATGGTCATTATTGTTTCTTAAATCCAAATATTGAATATTAATTCTACTGTTTTCCTTTCCACCAGATTGTGTTTGTTATTTTAGCATTTTTAACAGGTGTGCTTTGTTCTTACCCCAATCCAATTGAGGACAAGTGCCCAGGAAACTATACCAACCCATTGAAAGCTCAGACAGTCATAATCCTCGGAAAAGTTATTTTGTGGATTCTGCATTTCCTCCTTGAACGATACATCCAGTATCACCACAGCAAAGTAAGAAACCGAGGCTATAACAAGATCTACCGGTCAACAAGCCATCTTAAAAGCCTTGCGCTGATGATACACTCCACTGGTAAGCCCAGTTGTCTCACTCAGCTATTCGGTGGCTTGCTTGAGTGTAATAAATGACAGCAGAAAGAAAATGTTAAGTTTGATTTTATAATCAAATACATGCTTTCATTTTTGTGAGAGTGACGTGGCCACTAAAATTAGGATCATCTTAATGTCTTGAAGTTTTTCTTATATTTCCCTTTGAAATCTGTATTTGTTATGTAAGGGAGGAAAAATATTCCCTCTGCCCTTCTAGGTTCTTGCCTGAGATTCCACCAATAAAGGACAGATTAACAGGAGAAAAACGAATAGAAGTTTAATAACATTATACCTCCTGTATACATGGGAGAGACCCAGGAAAGCAGAGTAACTCCACAATGGCCTAAGCCACCCTCTTAAATATTATCTCCAGCTAAAGACCAAAGAAGATGGGGAGGGTTGTGGGAGGGGCGATAGTTCTGGGAGGTGACCAGGAAAAGCACAGTAAACAAGGGTAAGTTTATTATGCTTGCCTTCTGCATTGATTAGAGTTTCTAGAGATTTAGAGTCATCCTGGTACAGAGAGGGATATAACCTTACAAATGGAGATTTCCCTTATAATTGTAAATGTCTCTTATAAAAGGTAATTCCTACTTGGTTTTCAGAGCTTCATCTGTGTCTGCCGTTTCTTAAAAATAATCAGCTTAAAATAATCCTTAAGACAAAGGAGGCATTTTTTGGGGTAGCATTTTCTGTCCCCTTCATTATGATCAAGGTACCCCTGTGTGAAATGTGGACTTTTTCCCCCTTTTGATACTGGAGACTTACTCATCGCAAGGAGATATACAGCTGACGCTAGTTGATACTTGTAGGATAAGAGGGGATTGTTTTATTTTAAATGAAGCTCAGTGCTTTTCCCGCAGTAAGAGAAAGACTGTTGTATAATAAGATGTATTACTAAAGCAGAAAACCTGGAAAACAATTTATGAAGACAAGGTCAGAAAGTCCATCCAGGATGCAGACAATTTAAAGGCTTAATGGAATTAAATTGAACTTCTTTAGGTATTTTTGCCTAATTGTCAAGGTTTCTACCTTTTCTAAAAAGCCCTCTTTTTCAATTTGAGTCCAGAATAAATGTTTGAACATTTTGAAACCAAATTAGAAATTAATTTTTCCCTAGAAAAACAGCTCTACAGAATTTAATGTTTTTCCTGTGTTCTGGTAGTGCATTTTCTTAAAGGGCAGGCTCTGAGTTCATCTGCTCAGCGAGGCTGTAAATGGGGGGAGGGCCCAGCGGTTGCAGAGAAAGAAGCATTGTATTGGAGTGGCTGGTCTTGAAGCACCTCCAAGGGGCGGCCTTTACTGCCCCCTGAGGAAGAGTGCGGTTTCTACTTCTACTGCTGATTGCAGTACTTGTTTTTGGCCAGAAGATGTCCCTATAAGCTTTGCGCCTCTGACAAAGAGAAAAGCAGAAACCTATTTGTATACTGACCAAAATAATGTTCAGTTTCTCCACTGATGGTCTGGAAATAGTATTTTTGAGGCCCACCAAGAGATTGTCTAATCTTTGCCTTTCCTCTGACTTTCAAATTATTGCTACACATGTGACCCTTAATCACAGTCTGTTTCTAAACAATTGGACCCTCAGTTTAATCACAGACAGCATCACTTTTAAGTTACTCATATAAGGACCCAGAAAATCCAGGAGAATTGGGGCAGGTGTTTACTTTGTTTCTATTTTCTTTAAAGATTTTTTTTCTTACTTGAAGAAGAAGAAGGTAAATCTATGAGGGTATAGAACTTCCAGCTAATCCGAAGGGTGTGACCATTCTTTTTTTTTTTGCCTGTGATAGTATTGCTGGGTATTGTCTGGCTTCATCCTGATGCTTGTTGTTCTCTGCAGAAAGAAAAATAAATTGATTTTACTTTAGTTTGTGGAGATGGGAGAAGGGGCTTTGCTTTCCTTCCAAATAAGTTGAAAATATTTATCTGATTTACCTGTTCTCCTTCCTTAGATCGAAATACATCCTGAACTCTATGAAATGTTATTAGCTGCATAGCAAGTTGCATATTTGTTCTTTTCATTGAAGCGAAAACTTGACCCTTGGAGACATGGTGCTGGGCAGGGTGCTCTCATGATGTCCACAGTGCTTATCATTCAGGGGAATGTCTTACTTCTGCAGTCTCTGCTGCCAGCCTGCAAGTTCACCCTGTGACCTGCCACACTGCTGACACAGGCCTTGCTCAGGGCATCAGAAATCCTCTGGAAACTGTGTGTTCACTTTCCCTGCAGAGGTTTTTCCCTAGTTTTTTCCTCTCCCTAAAGCTGTAAAGTTATATTTGTCTTATACACAAAACTAATTCATAAATTGAGCTATTGGTCAACATGCTAAGACACTGTGACATTTGTGAGTGTAAGGGGAGGGCGTAGGGATTTGTGCTGGACCACTGCTTTGTGTAGAGGGACTTCTGATAGGTTATTTAAACAGGGTTCTTTGGCTCACAGTCATCCCTTTGTACCAAGAAGCAGAAGGTAAATCAAATGAACATCTCGCCAGCCTTGATCAGACTTGGATAAATATGTTAGTTTTAGGAAATTCTAAGGTAAAACATTACAGGAATGACTTCTGCCCCTAAACTTTTCTTTGACAGTCTTCAGACTGTAAGTGCAGAATGAGGTTAAAATGGTCTTCAAAAATAAATAATGGATATGCTGAGCAGGGGGGAAACAGCTCATATTTATTGTCACCCCATTTTTCAGACGAGGAGTGGAGGTGTTAGGTCATCTGTCCAAGGTCAGCAGCGTGTGCCCGGTTTTTTTCTGGATACTCGCTGCGTCCTTTACTGTGCTGCATGACCAGAAGGGGCCACCGGGTCCTCGTAGAAACTCACTCCTTGAGTTTTAAAAAAGTCCAGATTCTTACGTATTTGTGTCATGGGGCATCATTTGCTCTTAGCCGTGTTACGTTTGATTTCCATCCTCTACCTTCCTTGGTCGCCGCGTAGCTGGGTGGGTGCCCGCGCCCTCGCGGTACCCCTGCGGGGGCTGCGCCGGGGGCAGCGGCGCGGGCTCCGGGACTCCGCCCCGCCCACGCACACACGCATGCTGCGTCTCCTCCCCGCAGGCAACACGGCGCTACTCTTCCTGCTCTGCCTGCAGCACTCCTTCCCCGAGCCCAGCGCGCTGTACCTGGACCTCATTCTGGCCACCCTGGCCGTGGAGCTGGTCTGTTCCCTGACGTGCCTGCTCGTGTACACAGGTGAGAATGACAAGGAGCCTCTTCTTATAGAAAGGCCTTTCACTGCTGGTCGCATCCCCACCTGAAGCCCAGCCCATTACCTTTCTGGCGGGAAACCTTTTCTACGTGGCCGTTACCCTATTGAGCACCCATACCTCATTGCTGACCACATCCAGACTCCTGTAATTTCAAACCACCAGGAACATACCAGTGAGTCGCATTTCTAAAGTTGTGTCATCAATAAATTCTTATCAACTAGAATGAGGGCTTTCCATTAAAAAAAAAAAAGAAGAAAATGAAAAAATAAAAAAGATCTACAAACTTTTGCATCCTCAAAAGCAACTGAGATGTAAGTCTGGCTTTAACTTAAAATATAGCTAAATATAGGACTTCCCTGGCTGTCCAGTGGTTAACACTCTGCACTTCCACTGAAGGGGGCATGGGTTCAGTCCCTGGTAGGGGTAAGATCCCACATGCTGTGTGGCAAAATAAAAGTAAAATAAAGTAAGTAAATAAGTTAATACATGCAAAACTGCATTTAGCCCAAACTTGATTTTGATAAACCATTTAAGAACCCACTTCTTTCTAAATTTAGAACTGTCTGAGGATTGTTCTGTCTGGCTGTCTCTCAAAACTCTCAGTGGTAAAATTAAATAAGCTTCAAACATGTTAACATGAAAAATAGATGGAAGGATACCTGAAGAGAAAAAACTCCATGCCCGGAAGAAACAAGATTTCATTCCGGCTGCAGTACTGACATGCACTAAAATCTGTAATAGCAGCTAATTTGGTGGCATTGAGCAACAGTTGTTTTGTGACAATAAAGTACCTTATCTGTCCATTTTGAAAGAGATTATTTCTTCAGTTATGAAGGAAAAGTCACATGGGCCAAAGCTTGCGTTTCATTTTACTGTTTTGTACCTCTTCTTAAGGCTTCTAGGGCAAATGTTGACTTTGTTCAGTGTATCGCAAAAAATTTAAGGTTGATTCCCTGATACATGCATTTTTCTCGCTTCTCTATATTAAAAAGATTTAAAAGATTCCTAGTTTTGGTAATGCTGATAGTAACTCTTCATGATATGATTCTTTGATATACTAATTCTAATCTAAATTTGACTAATTTGTCTGCAGTTAAGTAGTTAATCTCTAAAAGTCAAGATGGACTCTTCTCATTGGGCGCCTGACTGCCTCTGTAGGAAAAAACTAGGGAAATAAAACTTAAAAGCTTTGTGGTGATTTGATTAGCTTTCCATTTGTTTAAAAATAAGCAGCGGGGCTTCCCTGGTGACGCAGTGGTTGAGAGTCCACCTGCCGATGCAGGGGACACGGGTTCGTGCCCCAGTCCGGGAAGATCCCACATGCCGTGGAGCGCCTGGGCCCGTGAGCCATGGCCGTTGAGCCTGCGCGTCCGGAGCCTGTGCTCCGCAACGGGAGAGGCCACAACAGTGAGAGGCCCGCGTACCGCAAAAAAATAAAAAAATAAATAAGCAAGGATTCAAAAAATGCCACTCAGTTACCAGACTTCCAGTAGCCCTGATGTTTGGGCTTCAGCTCAGGAGGAAAGGACTGTAAGGGGCAGCCGGCCCATGTCCAGTGTCCTGCAGTTTAGTGAGAGCTCTCCTTGGCTTATTGTGGTGGAAAGGAAGAGTGGAAGATTCTCATTCCATGTAGATTGCACTGGTGTTATTGCCTGGCCTGTGATCTGATATATGCTGACTGCATGGAATTTAATTTATTTTTAAAACCACAAACACCAGAAACTATCACAACATTGTAAATCAACTGTACTTCAATTTAAAAAAAAAAAGGAACACCTTCAGGGAAAAAAAACCCCACAAAGATGAGTCTGAAAGATGGACATTTTTCTGTTGTTGAGCTATTGTCTTTTATTTCTGCCTCTTAACTTTTACTTTAATATCCTGTAACTGTTATTTCTTTTTGCCCAGTTCAAGAAACTTAAACTTGTTCCAAGTTTCTTCATTTATCTTGGAGTTATTATATGGAAGACATCATTATAAGGAGATGCCATATGAACGTAACTCCAATTTAGAGGCAGGCCTCATGAGACAGTCGAGTCTCAGCCTTCATCTCCTGAGTGGCACTGGACACAGTGGCTCGCTCCCTCCTTGAGATGTGTTCTTTACTTGTCCTGGGAAGCTGGTTTCCTGGCATCCCGCCTGGCCCCCTGATGGCCCCATCTTCTCTTTTGTTGAGCTCTCCCGGCCTGCGTGGTGGAGCCCAGCGCTCAGTCCCTGTCTGCCCTTGGGTGGGCGCGCTGTTCTCGTGCCATCGGAAGCCAAGGGGCTATTCATATCTTTTTTTTTCTTGAAGTATAGTTGATTTACAGTGTTGTACTAGTTTCAGGTGTACAGAAAAATGATTCAGATGTATATATTCTTTTTCAGATTCTTGTCCACTGTAAGTTATTACAAGATATTGAATATAGTTCCCTGTGCTATACAGTAGGGCCTTGTTGTTTGTCTATTTTATATACGGTAGTGTGTATCTGTTAATCCCAAACTCCTAATTTATCCCTCCCTGCACACCCCGTTTCCCCTTTGGAAACCATAGTTTGTTTTCTGTGTCTGTGAGTTTATTTCTGTTTTGTAAGTAAGCTCATTTGTATCATATTTTAGATTCCACATATAAGTGATAATCATATGATATTTGTCTTGCTCTGTCTGACTTATTTCATGTGGTATGATAATCTCTGGGTCCATCCATGTTGCTGTAAATGGCATTATTTCATTCTTTTTCATGGCTGAGTAATATTCCATTGTATACATGTGTCACGTCTTCTTTATCCATTCATCTGTCAATGGACATTTAGGTTGCTTCCACGTCTTGGTTATTGTAAAAAGTGCTGCAGTGAACCTTGAGGTGCATGTGTCCTTTTTTTCTTTAAACAGATTTATTTATTTTTATTTATTTACTTTTGGCTGCATTGGGTTTTCGTTGCTGCGTGCAGGCTTTCTCTAGTTGTGGCGAGCGGGGGCTGTTTTTCATTGCATTGCGAGGACTTCTCATTGTGGTGACTTCTTCTGTTGTTGTGGAGCACAGGCTCTAGGTGCACAGGCTTCAGTAGTTGTGGCACGTGGGCTCAGTAGTTGTGGCTCGGGGGCTCTAGAGCACAGGCTCAGTAGTTGTGACACATGGGCTTAGTTGCTCTGCTGCATGTGGGATCTTCCCAGACCAGGGCTGGAACCCGTGTCCCCTGCATTGGCAGGCAGATTCTTTTTTTTTTTTTTTTATCATCTTTATTGGGGTATAATTGCTTTACAATGGTGTGTTAGTTTCTGCTTTATAACAAAGTGAATCAGTTATACATATACATATGTTCCCATATCTCTTCCCTTTGCGTCTCCCTCCCTCCCACCCTCCCTATCCCACCCCTCTAGGTGGTCAAAAAGCACCGAGCTGATCTCCCTGTGCTATGCGGCTGCTTCCCACTAGCTATCTACCTTACGTTTGGTAGTGTATATATGTCCATGCATCTCTCTTGCCCTGTCACAGCTCACCCTTCCCATCCCCATATCCTCAAGTAGGTTCTCTAGTAGGTCTGTGTCTTTATTCCTGTCTTACCCCTAGGTTTTTCATGACATTTTTTTCCCTTAAATTCCATATATATGTGTTAGCATACGGTATTTGTCTTTCTCTTTCTGACTCACTTCACTCTGTATGACAAACTCTAGGTCTATCCACCTCATTACAAACAGCTCAATTTCATTTCTTTTTATGGCTGAGTAATATTCCATTGTATATATGTGCCACATCTTCTTTATCCATTCATCCGATGATGAGCACTTAGGTTGTTTCCATCTCCTGGCTATTGTAAATAGAGCTGCAATTAACATTTTGGTACATGGCTCTTTTTGAATTTTGGTTTTCTCAGGGTATATGCCCAGTAGTGGGATTGCTGGGTCATATGGTAGCTCTATTTGTAGTTTTTTAAGGAACCTTCATACTGTTCTCCAGTGGCTGAACCAATTCACATTCCCACCAGCAGTGCAAGAGTGTTCCCTTTTCTCCACACCCTCTCCAGCATTTATTGTTTCTAGATTTTTTGATGATGGCCATACTGACTGGTGTGAGATGATATCTTATTGTAGTTTTGATTTGCATTTCTCTAATGATTAATGATGTTGAGCATTCTTTCATGTGTTTGTTGGCAGTCTGTATATCTTCTTTAGAGAAATGTCTATTTAGGTCTTCTGCCCATTTTTGGATTGGGTTTTTTTTTTTTGTTATTGAGCTGCATGAGCTGCTTGTAAATTTTGGAAATTAATCCTTTGATCATTGATTCATTTGCAAATATTTTCTCCCATTCTGAGGGTTGTCTTTTGGTTTTGTTTATGGTTTCCTTTGCTGTGCAAAAGTTTGAAGTTACATTAGGTCCCATTTGTTTATTTTTGTTTTTATTTCCATTTCTCTAAGAGGTGGGTCAAAAAGGATCTTGCTGTGATTTATGTCATAGAGTGTTTTGCCTATGTTTTCCTCTAAGAGTTTGATAATTTCTGGCCTTACATTTAGGTCTTTAATCCTTTTTTAGCTTATTTTTGTGTATGGTGTTAGGGAGTGATCTAATCTCATACTTTTACATGTACCTGTCCAGTTTTCCCAGCACCACCTATTGAAGACGCTGTCCTTTCTCCACTGTACATTCCTGCCACCTTTATCAAAGATAAGGTGTCCATATGTGCGTGGGTTTATCTCTGGGCTTTCTATCCTGTTCCATTGATCTATCTTTCTGTTTTTGTGCCAGTACCATACTGTCTTGATTACTGCAGCTTTGTAGTATAGTCTGAAGTCAGGGAGCCTGATTCCTCCAGCTCCGTTTTTCGTTCTCAAGATTGCTTTGGCTATTCGGGGTCTTTTGTGTTTCCATACAGATTGTGAAATTTTTTGTTCTAGTTCTGTGAAAAATGCCAGTGGTAGTTTGATAGGGATTGCATTGAATCTGTACATTGCTTTGGGTAGTAGAGTCATTTTCACAATGTTGATTCTTCCAATCCAAGAACATG